GGCCGTCATGATGGCTCGGGCAAGTTCCTTTGATTGGCCGGACCGAGTTTGCAGAGCAGAACGCTCGATGAGCTCTGCTGCAGCTTAGCTTTACCCACTTGTGCAGCCAATTATGGGGTAATTAACGTATGTTAATAATTCCCTACACAACAATTTCAACGGGTATTTTTTACAACTGATTTGCTAGAAAACTTACTCTTCGAAGCATTTGTTACACGTGGACAACACAATACGCAATCTATTTAAAGACTGTCAAAAAATCACCGGGATATGTAACTCGATTAAATGTAACATGAGATTTTTTTTGATAAAATTTAATCCAACCGTCCAAACTAGGTCTGGACTTACTACTATATTAGTCTCCTCTATATCGTCAACCCAACACATATTGTTTCGCCCTCTTGATCTAGCTAGTATTGTACCGTTGCCTCCCATTTCCCTTCCTAACACGTTATATATATCCATCTGCCTCGCTGGTGTCACCTTTGATGTTGAGAAAGCCCACTGGACTACCCCGCCCTTGTTGACCTCCTCTCTACCATGTCCATTGCCATCGAACTTGCCTTCGGTGCCCCAATGTTACCTTCTTCCTTGTCTTCGACGGATGTTGCCGCTGATCTATTTATGCACCCTCTGTCTCCTAATGTATCGTTGTGCGTTTGCTCTCGCTACAGATTCAACCCACCACTCTATCCTGACCTTGGCTTTAGTTGCGGTGGCGGCGTCTCAATGGCCCCTTTCTCCATGTCCCACTACTGATCTGCCATCTGCCCAAGCACTATCGTACGTATCAATTTACAAGACGTTAAATTAATTGGTATCTAACTGTGATCACAATACTCCATTATTAAGGATCGATTTACACAAAATGTTTTTGCTAGGTCCCATTATAAAAATTATTTCCAAAATACGTCAAACCGGCAAAACTAATTTATTTCAACACCGAGGCCCTCTTCTTTATCACCTTTTTTATTACAACTTTGGACATTACATTTCATTATATGTTTTATTCAAAATTTTAGTGTAAATATGAAAAAAAATTATAAGTCATCCTTAAACTAACTTTAATGATAAAACATTGTTCTCAATATGTTTTCGCCATTACTTTTTTCTCACATATTAATTTCTACATTCCAACCTATAGACGAGCCATTTGGCTCCACACCTATTATTTTTCTACCTTCCAAAAGCTAAGAGGTTAATTGGGACGTACGACAGATTCACTGTCCACCACTTACTTTTTTTTATACCGTTACTAGCAAGAATGCCAGTCTGTTGTAACGGGTGAAGGCAAACATATTAAACTACATGTTATCTCATGTTTTTTTTAACAATAATGGCAATCATATTAGGTAGCTTATCATTGTAAAGATACAACATCGATAAGATAGGAAACCGCCGTTGGACCTCCCCTCCACCGCCTCCTCACAAAGCAGCCAACGCCGACCAAAAGCTCTCTTGCCGCCATACGTTGCTGCACCTCGGCCATGTGTCGCACCCCTGCTCGTTGCGTCCAAATCACCTCAGCCTAAGAAATCAACCGATCAATCTCTTCCTTTTTCTTTTTCTCCATGTTCAACATGGCTTCCTTCCTGCTCATCAACTCCGACTCCGACTCGAGATGCGGGGGTGGAGACGGAAGGTTGAGGGGCAACTGAGGAGTAGGGATATGGCTGTTGGATCTATCCTACTCATCAACTCTGACTCCGACTCGAAAGCGAGGGCGGAGGTGAAAGGCGAGGGGAAGGAGCCGATCAGTCCTGCTCATCAACTCCGAGTTCGATTCGGGAAGCAGGGGTGGAGGCAGAAGGCGAGGGGTAGGAATCTGGCCATTAGATCTATTGGATAAAGGGTCATGATTGTTGGATTTATGGTAGACAAAAACACTATCAATGTTTTAAGTAGTATATAGATAAAGATAATATTATAAATGGAGGGGTTTCTTTGTCTGGAGAGGATAAAAGTCTTTTATGCTAAAATTACGTTATATCGGTCATGTATCTTCGCAAGTTGCATCCCACAAAAATGCAATCCAAGCAGGCTAACCATAAAAGAAATCCCCAAGCTTCCTCCAACAGGTCCCAACTCACAAGATTCACCATCCTGCGTGCACATTTTGCCCAAACATGTAAGTATGTAACACGACACCAGTCTGACGACGCAGTCGACCGCCTCGCATCGTGAGCTCCACCAACTCCGTAGCTAGATAGTCAGCACCGTGCCTGGAACGCACACGCGATGAGCTGCTTCGCCTCGCCTCCACACCCGCGATTCCATCGATCTCTGCCGCCCGCGTCGCTACACGTTCATCATCGCCCCAGCGATATACCAAGATATGGTTAACTATGCTCCTCAGGGAGAGGAGATTAGTTACGGTTGGTTTGATGCAGCGCTGCACGGCGCCGTCGGCGAAAAACTAGTAAAAAAGACGGCGTCTTTAGCGGGTGCACACGCCTGTTAAAAGTTAATAATCTCAGCGATCGGTGATCAGCTGGTCTTTTGCACGTACCGTTCCAGCTTTTGCCGCGCGCTGTGAGTGACAGCCACTGCGACTGCGAGCTTACCAGTTACTTCCAGGCTTTCCCTTTGTACGTACGCGCCTGCTGCCTCTTGCTGTGCCACTGGTCGATTCCTCGAAACGTGATGAGTTTAATAAACTTTACTTAAAACATCGAAGAGCTCACATCTCGGGTGATAATTTAACGGTGTGGCATACGCAAATTTAATCAAATGGAATTCTTGTTCTTAACCTTTCTGCGTGCCAAGAGACGTTGTGTACACTGACGGGTATATGTAGATAAGTAGATTTATACTTGAGCGTAATGTTAGGTAATGTGCAGAGATCAAGATCACATATAGAACGGCCATGAAAGGAGACAAGGATTATAAATGTGTATGTGACAGCGTTGAGTAGTACTAGATATGATGGAGACTCTCGCTTAGGATAATCTCCGTAGACGCCTAAACCCTGTGGTCCAATGCCCTAATACACATCATAACATCACTGCTACTGATGATAGGATTTGCGTAGACAACGTACTAGATCTCTGCCCAAGAGCTTGACGAGATCCATTTTTCCCTTGAAATGCTGCCGGAGAAATGGGCCAAATGGCATGATGATTACATAGAGATAGTCCCTACTCACTAGCACAAACTTTCATATGGTAAACTTTTCCTAATTTCAAGTGCCAACAACTGAATTATAGACAATCATTTTTTTTCCCGAGATACTAATACCTGATGCCAGTATGTCACTCATTGGTGATAATGCACTTGTATGAATATCGATCTGGCATTATATACACTTTGTGAGAATGCAAATGTACCGTTTTAAAATGTAAGGAATTTCACATGTAGTAGATTATAAGAGAATGTGTAAGGATATATTTAAAGTGACTAGCTTACAATATCATTCCAATTTTCTTAAGTCTCCAAGTTTGAATTTTAATTTTAGATAATGGAAATGGTTTACAACTTTACATCTTCAGCCTCCACTGTTGGGCACAAAGCCAAAAAGTCTTTGGTCTTCTAGTTTGAATGAGCAGTGAAATTTCCAATCCGGTGAGAGTTCATCACTGCAATTTGCAGCCAAAAATAAAAACTAAGGGCTCTTTCTCATTTTTGTGGGGAATGAATTGCTTCTTATAAAGTGCTAGTGCTAGAATTTTCTTTATAAATTGAGTTATATTCCATTCTCATATTCCCTCTATCCCATATCATAAGGTTTCAGTAATTTTAAGAAAAAACAACACTTGTAGTCTTTAACTAGCAAGTCAGTAACAAGTGGGTTGTTTGGCTGCGCCACAGTCATGTCAAGCGGCAGCTGACTGCAATGCAACATTTTTACAGTGCAGCCAAACAACCCCAATAAATGTATTTCTATTGTTATGTATATTGTATCATTATATTCACATTTGGAAGTATTTTTATATGATATTAATTTTGTATTTGTTAATAATATATTATAAAAGATTAATGACAGTGTAATGTTAGAGACAGCCATACTTTAGGTTGGAGGGAGTAATATTTAAGAACTTTTACGCTACAATATACTAGTATACTTATAGTATAAGTGATATAAAGGTTTAGATTAATGTGTCCTCTCACTTAACTATATTATAGTTAAAAGGATTAAAACTGTGTTTCTATACTACCGGGTGTTGGTAAATCTATGAATTCGTAGCATACAGTGAAACAAGGCTAGGAGTTTTCCTTGCTCAATCACATTCCTCATTTGTCGTCATCATTCACCACGGTGAGGCACGCTAGTTACCGCAAGTCCTCGAGCGCCGCCGCCAATCACCCTCGATGACTAGAGAACAAAATTACTGAAATATTATTTTCAATTTTGAAGAAAAATTCTAAATTGTCCTATTTTCATCTCCCTCGATGGATTCTTTTTTACGTAACAAATTGGACCTCTTTATGATAGGATCCAAGTATCCAACCCAACTCGGCATGGGACCATTCATACTCTTGACAGCCCTATGTAACTGTTCTTTTTAGATGATTGAGCATTTAGCCCTTAAATTAAGGAGTAAAATACTAACAGAAGCACCTACTAATTCGAACAAAGAGACAGATGCTCAACGCTGAAACCGCATGGTATTGTTAAGTTTGTCTTCCCAAGGTTCGTGCTGACAGGTCACAAGGTCCCCTTCTTTTATTTCCTAGGGAATGCGGTGCTCATGGTCTTAGAGCAAGTTTAATAGTTTAATAGTATAGCCTACTACTAGCTCCAATTCATCTATAGCCAATCTAATAGTTCATTCGTACAATAGTTACATACTACACTATTGATACCTGGCCCCGCCTGTCATACACATACTACGTCTTACAGTTCGTGCTACAGCTGGCTACAAATTTATAGCCCGCTATCCTTCTCTCTCCTTATTTATCTCCTTAAAATATATTTACAGCTGGCTTATAGCCTACTATTATACCTGCTCTTAAAGCAGACAAGCAGTCAAACAATATAGAGATAGGCAGGCAGAGCAATATACTGAAAGAAACCCATTTCCTCTTTTTCTGGGTCTTGTTAATTTTCTTTTCTGGTTACACCATGTTATTTTATTCATGTGGATGATCATCATTGCTGATCACAAAAAGGAGTGCTGCCGCCTCTAATTTTCTCCTTACAAATGAAATGGAAAAAAGAAAACAATACTGCAACTAATGCAACTAGAGCTAGTGAACAAAAGAATACTACACAGCCAGGTCAGTGCATGCCTAGTTCTTGGACTTGTTGCCTAAAGCCCCTCACCATCCTTTGTCTTGATCATCTCATGTAGCTTTTATGTTTTTTTTCTTCTTTTTTTTTTGAAACTCATCAAGCTTTTATGTTGCTACAAAGCTTTTCTTTGTTCTTTGGGGGCACCTCTCATCACCATGGCTTGCTGGCTTGCAAAAGCTTAGCAATTAGGTGTTGTCAACCTCACCTCTTTATTCATCAGCAACTTCTTGCTAGCTAGCTCTCTCTCGTCATGTCAAAATTCCCTCCCTTTTGGCCCCCTTCCAGTGTTCTTTCTTTCTAACAGTCGTTGCAATCGAAACCAATTGACTTTGCCTTTGTCGAGATGAGTGGTGTACAGACTACAGAGAGAGTGATCTATCATTTGGCACTTTGACTGGTCAGTCACCTGCTAAGCTTCCTCCTCTTCTTGCTAGTGACCGGGGAGCTATCAAAGCAACTCTTCCTTCTTCCTCCTCCATGTGAGGCAATAGTTGCTGCATCAGTATCATCACTTTTGTAGCTGAGGCAGCCAGCATCCAGCACCGCAACAGGGCTCTCAGGCACAGAGGAGGAGGAGGCTGAGGCTGAGCCTCTCCTGGTGCTTGCAGGTTTAGGTTGCACAGTGTTAATGGTGGCCATGGAGTAGTGATGATCCTGAATCGCTTCCTGGCATTGCAACACCCTCCCCTGCAGACACACAGCGGCAAAAGCCGAACAGCACATTAACTCCCCGAGCTCACACGCCCATAAATGCGTTTCACGCATTCTGAACCGGTACTGTGTTCTACGAAAGTACCGGTTGCAAATTATGAGTTATTATAATTCAGTTATGAATGTGATGGATCCAAATTGGTAGTACACATGAGTTATTCAGAATTAAACGAGCTAGTAAGAGTCTATGAGGATGAGTTTACGTGAGGGTTTGCATCAATCTGTACCTTATCTACATGGGTGAAAGCCTCTGCGATGTCTTCTTCTACCACGCCGGTGGCTTCTCCGGCCACTGTGGCAGCCACCGCTGCAGCGATCTCCGAGGGTCTAAACTCTAGGAATCCAGTTCCTGACAAGTTTAACATGCATCGTCAGACTATGCTGAGAATGCTGAATTATGGTCTGATCTATAGGATGTCACTGAATGAAACCATGTTCAGCAGCTTCCTATCATGGCACACCTGCTGCTATGCGCAAGATGAGCTCCGACGACCTCAGGAGCCAGCTTCTCGGCGCGGCATTGCCGCTGTTGAGCTTTCGTAGGAAGTAGTCGATGTAGGAGAATGGAGTCACGGCTTGCATCCTCCAATTGAGGTTGGTGAGAACAAGAAGCTCCATTCTATGGATCGTCTCCACCTCGAACAAAAACCGTGGTTCCCCAATCTGATCAACAACAAGAACAACGCTTAGAACAATATCAAACAAAAACGCAACGCATTGCGAAATCTGAGATGCTTGTCACGGTTTGATGCTGACCTGAAGATCCAAACATTGCGGGACGACGGTCTCCTCCATCTTGGCGGCGATAGACAAGCACGCAACCGAGAGCAACTGTGTCATCCAATCCCTGCCTTCCTGTATTTGCAAGCATGAATCTTAGCTCATCATCTAGTACTTGTATGAACATGGACAGCATTGGCCACATCTTGAGATGATTACAAACACAATCTTTTTGATTCTTACCGGCAGCTCGTACTGAGACAGGAAACGGTCCAGGTAGTTTACAGCCAGATAGGCAGTGACAGAGCTGAAGTTGTAGTAAGTGTAAACCTGTAGAAAGATAAAAAACACAATAAGTTAGAGATCACATGGTAAAAGAAACAAATTTTTCAGGACAAGAACTCCACAGCAATTATCTTCTATGCTTTTATCAGAAGTTTTTTTTTTTGGCTCCGAAAAAATGCCGCCCCATCATTGCAAACGTTGTAGTAGTACAAACTAGAATCAGACAATGCACATCGACATCTCGTGAGTAAGCGAACGGATGAAAGGCCAGCTTCGTCCGAGATGTATGGTCCCAAAATTTAACCCCAATTTGCTTTTGTCATCGTCACATTTATCGCACTACGACAAACAATGTTTATTACTCGAAACACAGTGAAAAAAAAAACTCTTCAGTGCATAATATGCATTGCATTTACGCCCGTGGACGAACGCTAGCTGCAGATTAGTGAAAACTGGCCGAGAAAACAAGTTGCAGGAATGGTTTTGAATCCATCCAGAAACGAAGTAAAAAAGACACGTTTTTCCCCCCTAAATGAACGGAGCTAATCATGGCAGATCTATTGCATTTACTCAGAAAGACCAAAGAAAACAGCGCAAAAATCATTCCTTTTTTTTTCTTTCTTTCAGGCAATGGCGCATCCTGTGCCAGATCGATCAAAGAATGCACCTCCCAAATCCAGCCGATGGCCTCGCTGCGGACGCGGAGATCCACGTCGCCGCCGCCGCCGCGGAGCCGCTCGCCGTAGTCCGCCCTCGGCATGTGCGCCTGCTCCCTCTCCACCAAGCTCGCCACGCACTCCTCCGACTGCCGCGGGAACATGTCCTCCTCCTCCTCCACTCCACCCCCGCCGCTGCCGCCGCCGCCGCCGGCGGCGAGGTCCCCGACCATCGACCGGCAACCGCCGCTCCTCCTCTCCCCCACCTCCCCCTCCTCATCCTCCAGCCACAGGATGCTGCTGTTGTCCTCGGCGCAGAGCAGCATCGACGCGGCCGCGTCGTGGCAGGACGACGAGCTCGGAGCCATCTCTCCGCCTCCCCTCCCCTCCCCTCTCCGGTTGGTCTTCTTCTTGGGCTAGCGAGTCAAGGACGGACAGTGACAAGGACAGAGATAGATAGCGAGAGCGAGAGAGAGAGACGCTGCGCGCTGTGCTGCTGCCGCCGAGGCCGCGCTTTGTACTGGGGAGGGAGACAGGAGGGAGAGGGGCAGTTTGGGAAAGCGCGACGCGACGCGACGGTACGCCGAAATTGGGACAGCCGGGGCGGGAATGGAGGGAGGGGGGCGCAGGAAGAGGGCACGGTCACGGTAGTGGAGGCCGTCCGATCGGATGGATGGGCGGCTGAGATTGGAGGCTGGGAGGACACGGGACAAGCCCCTTGCGGCTCTCGCGCGAAGGGTTGCCCAAAAGGCTCGGCCGTGTAAACACGTTCGGTGTGGATGTGCTCCTGTGACGTAACTTTCAAATGGTTTGGTGGCTGACATGTGGGTCCGAGAGTGGTGGAGCTCACATATCAGTCACGTTGAAGGGTAACATCAGAGGATCATCTTCCGTGTTTGGGATTTTGGACACGGTTATAAAATACTTTTAGCGAGTTATACCTAGGTAGTACTACATGCTAAATTTAGTCATTTTTTATGGTATTTGTAACGTTACATGAAGCTTCGTCCGATATGTTTATAGGGTGGGCGTTTAATCCGACCGAAAAATTCAGTCTCGATCTGTTATTTAGAAATTTTGGTCATTTAAAATTAGAGATCGATCGGTCTTGGACACCAAGAAATTCGGTCTTTGTCTAAATCATGACCGAAATTTTAGAAGGTCCAAAATAATCAAGCGAAGTCTTAATTTCTAGATAAAAAAATATAAACACAAAATAGACTCTTGACTATCATGGATCAAATCAAAGCATACTGAAGGCTAAAATTGGGTCAAAATTCGGTTTAATTGGGTTGTTGATCGAGTACTAACCGAATTGACCGAATAAAATTCAATCTTTCAACACCTGACTGGCCTAGTGATTGAATTTTTCGGTTCGGTCTTTTTCTGCCCACCCCTATATGTTCAACAGTTTAAAAAATTAAAAGGTAAATTGGCGAAACCCTTGCTAAATTTACCTTTGGCTATGATGGTAGAACTACAAATAAGTCGAAAAAAAAGCAACCAAAAACAATTTTTTTTCCGTTAAACCTTGGTGGTTACAATAGAAAAAGGGCAAGGCTAGAAAATAGACTACAATAAAAAAAAGACTCAAAATCAACTTAATAAAATTAAATTTGAGTTGGAATTGATAAGCTAACAAGCAAATAACGAGAGACAAAATAAGTTGGTGCTTTTATAACAGGATTGACACATACCCCCTCCAAAAAAAAACTAATCTTGGGTTTGAATTTGGACATACATATTCAAACGTAGGATTGGGTTTTTTTAGGATAGAGGGAGTATTTTATACCTAGATTGTACTCTCTCCGTCCCAAAAAGAACCAATTCCTGGCTATGATCTTGTCCAGATTCATAGCGAGAAATTGGTTCTTTTTGGGACGGAGAGAGTATATGAGAAACCTCGAGATCGTATATGGTTGGTTGGGAAAGGGCTCATCTAAAGTACTGCCCTCTAACGTGGGTCACTGACATGTAGGTCCACATATCAGTCCCTCAAAGTTAGACAATAGTAAGTTAGAGGGCTATGTAGCTTAAGTATATTTTATAACATAGGAGATGACTATGTAGCTCAAGTATATAATTAGTGTGTGGTGTTCTTTTTAATAAGGCCTTGACGTTTTTCTAAATGGAATTCATATACATATTTTATTTTACGAGGATAATACTTTAACAAACAATTTCTCTATTACGCTATTTTAATAGAAAAGATTCTTATTAAAAAAATGCTTACTAATTATGCTTCCATGTCACATAACTAATTATTAATAAAGCGAATGATAGCTAAAATCTTATCCTAATGAAACAAAATGTCTTATAATAAAAAAACAGGTGATATTGTCTAATTGAGCGATGATGATTGTCCAATTAAATAACCCGGTGATTATCTTACGAGCACATATAGCTGAACTAGATCACAGAGCAACCAAGGTTAGTTATGACACACAGATAAACGGAATCGGCAAAATGTACATGATAGCTGATGATCCAATAAAAGGGGCTAACAAGTAACAAATTCTATTGTCAGTACACATGCAGTACGCATTCGCTACTAGCAATCCAATTAACCACACGAATGACCCATAAATAGTCATTTGAAGTGTAGATGTACATCAAAGACAAGCACAAAACTCCACCTAAAATCATTCACTGCTGAACATGTACTGTACAGAACGTTGTTTGATCATCTCTAGCGCCAAAATGAAAAGAAAAAAAAAGATACTACTGTACTCTGCTAATTAGGGCGTTTTGGCTGACGAGCAGCTACTCTCTGTTTGTATCTAGTTGTGTGTACAACACGTACTGTCTGAAGACTCATAGTACTAACGAACTCGAGTAGAGATCAGATCCGAAATTCGTGCTGCTGAGATTACTGTGTGGTAAGTAAATGACAGGAGTACACTCTGTACACTATAGTTCAGCGTAACCAAGAAATCAAACAGAGTAGCAATGCATGCAAACTGAAAACGATGGCTTTCCATGTTTGGGTCTACACTACAAGTACTCCCTCCGTACTAAAATATAAAAGATTTTAAATGTATGAGACATTTCCTAGTACTATGAATTTGGACTGGCTCTATGTTTAAATTCATTGTATTAGAAAGTGTCATATGCATCTAAAATCCCTTATATTTTGAGACGAAGGGAGTACTACTGAAGTTATGGAATTTCCAGAAATTATATATATATATGGGACTCCATGGTGCTCGGGCTCTAAGGTATAAAACACACAAATTCTCTCAAATTTTTAAAAATTTTCAAATTGTGAGTATATACCTAGGTATGAATTTGATTCATACAAATACCTAACAACAAAACAACTCAAACTCAACTTTATTTCACAATTCATTATTACATACCTAACGAATTATATGTTTGGATGTTATATACCTAGAACCAAAATCTAACAAAGAAAAGTTCAAACTCAGTTCAAACTTGTTAGTAAAAAAGTTAATGTTCATATCTAAACATTTAAAAAAATTTCATACTCATTCAAATTGGGTATATATATATATATATATATATATATATATATATATATATATATATATATATATATATAGTAAATTTGTTTGGTGCTCCATGGTGCCCGGGCACCATTGTTGAAATTGAGTATATACCCAATTCAAATGAGCATGAAACTTTTTCAATTATTTAGGTATTAATATTAACTACTTTACTAACTAGTTGAAAGCAAATTTGAACTGAATTTGAACTTGTTTTTGTTAGATTTTGATTCTAGGTATATAGCATCCATACATATAATTAGTTAGGTATGTAATCATGGATTGTGAAATAAAGTTAAATTTGAGTTGTTTGGTTGATAGGTATAGGTATGAATCGAATTCTTATAACTAGGTATATACTCACAATTTGAAAATTTTGAAAAATTTAAGTGATTTTGTGCATTTGAAACCATGGTGCCCCATATGAGTGTCATATATATATATATATATATATATAAAGTTGAATCCGACATGCATTTATAGTCTATAGAGGCAATTTAATCAAAAATTGAATTCACCAAGAGTTCTTACTATCGACATATGTGGGAGCGCTCTCGCTCCCAGAGTCTTTGCTCGGGATATCGTGTAAGGAAGGGCGCACAACCACGTAGGAGGGGTGAGAAACTATGTTTTTCAAGTAGCCACCTTTTTATTTAGGAAGTTAATGCTCAAATTCTCTTTAGAGATTCTCAAAGGGAGGAGTGTTGGATATCTGTTGGTGACGCTCTTAAATGCAAAATGAGAGGTTTTAGATATTCCTATGAGGACCTCACAAGTCACAAACAATTCTACAAGATTGTAAAATTATGCTACTACATCTATTCTAAAATATAGCAAGTAACTATAGTATATGTGGTGTCACCAATCACATCACAAATTTAATTTCAAGCCTAATTTTGATCAATACATCAGGATAAAAATTATGCTGAAAAAAATGTACATGTACTTCAAGCAACAAGGACAAGACTTTTGTACAATATAATCTAGGAGTACTCTGTTTTGGTAAAGACTTGTACAATATAATCTAGGAGAGTACTCTGTTTTGGTAAAGACATGTACAGCAAAATCCAGGAGTATTCCTGTTTTGGTAAAGACTTGTGTAAAATATAGACATGTATGAAATGCCTGGCCCCGTGCAGTTGTGAAACTGTGAGAGGAGCTCGATCTGCTAGTTAGTATTTAATTTTGCTCAACTACAATTACAATCTACTGCAACAAATGCAATTGGCCTGTTGATGATATAACACAACACAATCATTCACAAATGTGTCTGATATTATTGTTCCTTCCCAGTACAGATATAGTGTAAAAACTATACAAACACTGTGATTAGTGTTAGTACAAACATGGCCAGGAGCAGGACATGTACTCGATCACATCACGCATGCATTTCCGTCCTAGAAGCATTACGGATCGTCTTGGTTAATTAAGTACAGTACTTAGATTCAATCTGAATACGGATTATGATTACAATATTACTGGTTGAAAGTAAAAAAGAAGAAGAAAACAACAACGTGTACAAGGCTTGGACCCAAGTTGAGACTTGTTTGGGAGATAAGAGCTTCAAGCTAACAACATGGCGGTTCTTTTGTGCTTTACTTGCATAGAATTTCGGATCGCTTGCTTGCTTATTACTGTACTAGAAACGCTATCTACCTAGCTCAGCTCTCGCATATCACGACAGTAACGTTCTACTACCTCCCTCTCTGAAGGAGTTGAACAGAGAGACTGAGTGAGTAGCTGATTGTGATTTTCTATTCCAGATAAAATAAGTTCGAATTCACCGATGGATTTTTCAAGATTTAATTTAACAGCCACCGTCGGAGGGAGTGCTCAGATATATATTGGCTTTCCCGAAAGAGCACACAGAAAAATATGCAGTTTATCTTCCCTAAAAAAATGCCTAGATTAAACTGCACCATTAGTATCATGAGCAGGTACAACAATGGGTTAATAGCATGCTTACATAGGATTTTTTATACATGGCCGAGAAAGAAAACTTGGAGAGAGAAAAACGAGCGACTATTTAG